TCTCTGTCTGTCTGTGTGTGTGTGTGTGTGTGTGTGTGTGTGTCTGATTTATACATCACCTGAAAAGCTGAATAAATAAGCTTTTCATTGATGTATGGTTTGTTAGGATAGGACAATACTTGGCCGAGATAAAACTATTTGAAAATCTGGAATCTGAGGATGCAAAAAAATCAAAATACTGAGATAATTGCCTTAGTTCTTAGCAATGCATATTACTAATCAAAAATGAAATAAAAATAAAGTTTTTATATATATTTGTGGTAGGAAATTTACAAAATATCTTTATGTGCTACTTATGACTGGTTTTGTGGTCCAGGGTCACATATATATAAGTATATATCAGTCATCTTTTATTTAATTTAGCATTTTTGTTTTATTGATTTATGATTTATTTCCCTGTGTGCTTCCCTTCTGAAATAACATTATATAACACTTTTTACATTGCTTCAAAAATGATGGCTATATACAAAAATAGTAACAAGCATATTTTGTGCTTTTATTTGTTAATACTGACGGTTGTTCATCTATTATTTATAGTCACGTCTTTTCAGACCATTAGTCAACAAATCCTCAGTAAACACTGCAGGTGTCATAATCATTGCAGGTATGGAAGAGATGCCCTTTTAATTTAACCGAGCTGTGTGCTCACTAAAAAAACACTCATACTCAGATTCCCCCCAAAGCAATTTCAAGTTCATTTATATTCAGACAAAATCAAACATGGTGATTTCTGAGTAGGTGAGCTGTTTACTCCATCCATTTTCACTAGTTTTACCCATTCATGCAAATAGGTGGGCACTGAAAGGGTTATCAGCCAATCACAGCAATGTTTTCTGTGGTTTCCTTACTCAAAGCAACCAACACAACCCTGATTCCAAGTATGTCTCTTTGTTTGTTTCTATTCTCTGTGTTTTACTGTGATTAATCATTCTGTTGTGTTATGTCTTTGTGTGTCCCCTCCAGTCCAGTACATCGTTTAACTGTGATGTGGTCAAGGCTGGTACCGGCCGACGGTTCCTGGGTGGTCTGTTGGATGACACATCATACTGCTACACACTGGAGGTCTCCTTCTACAGCTACCTGACAGCAGGAAGCACCTCACCTGTGCCGTACACTGAGGATGGCTGTATCCTTTCATTCCTCCTTCACCTGATAATGTAACATACACTCTTAAAAATAAAGGTTCTTCACCATGCCATAGAAGAACCTTTTTGTCTAAATGGTTCCATAAAGAACCTTTAATATCTGAAGAACCTTTCTGTTTCACAAAAGGTTCTTTGTGGCGAAAGAAGGTTCTTCAGATTACAAAAAGGTAAGAAAGAGATGGTTCTTTAAAGAACCTTTGACTGAATGGTTCTTTGTGGAACCCAAAATGGTTCTTCTATGGCATCGCTTGAAGAACCTTTTGAAGCACCTTTATTTTTAAGAGTGTACACTCTAAAAAATATGTTTGGAATTTGAAGTTCAAAGTAAATCAAATATTATTGGAGTATGTTTTACAAGAAAATACTGCTTAAGTCTTTTACTTCAAAATTGAATGCTTAATTCACTGCGTTACTTGCCGTTTCTTTATAATATTTGTGAAAATTACTAGGATTCTCTGAGTGAAAACTGCTTCAAAGTAAATCCACAGGTTTTTTTTTCAGTGTACCGTTCAAAAGTTTGGGTTTAGCAAGATTTTTGTTGATGCATTTTAGATATTATGTTCTTTTGAACTTTCTTCATCATATATACAGTATTATATATATATATATATATATAAATAT